CCATAAGTCATAAGCCTAAAGGTCATACCTCTTTGGTGGTTCATGGTGGCTCAAATCCATGGAAGAAATATGGGCACTCTCCTTGTGTAGAGCCTTGGAAATCTGCTAGAGTCAGCATGAATTAGGCTCAATCAACAGCAATGAGTGTTAGGGTTTTGTTGTTGGTTTTACGTTGTGTCATTAGGACATTAGACACAACATTACAAATTGGGATAATGCAAATGCATACAATTTAATGAAATAAGTAGATTAAGTATAGCATTCAATATCAAAGTTTCAAGGTAAGCAAAAGAAAACAGAGATGATATGGATATAAAATCTAATCAGACCAGGAGTGATATTCAAAGGACTGATAAACATTAGTTAGACGTGTGCATTAAGCTCTGGTGGCTTACTGGTAAGGAGTTGCACTGCCAAGCAAAAGATATGTGGTTCGAATCCACTAATGGCTCCACAGGAGAATGATGGGCTGTCTCCTTCTGTGTGTTTTTCTGCCTCTGAAAACCTGCTAGAGGGTCAGCTATGGGTCTGTTGCAATTCAACAGTGCGTGACAACAGACGAGTACACTAACCAACTAGAAAGAATACTGCCGAGCCCTAGAAATACGCAAGTTTATCAAGTATGCCCATCAGCGGCTGAGAAGGCCCACAAAGGTCCCAAAGGAAAGACCAGGTTGGTGGATGGCATTACACTTGATGAAGATGAGATGTGCTGGGCAGTGACTATATATTCAACATGGTTATACTCCCAGGGGTTATACTGGTATGCACTACCCTAATATTATCTTTGGCTTTGAGACTCAGAACTTAGTGGCACTGACCACGGGTTAACATAAATGATTCCTTCATCAACTGTAGTTCTTAGATGATGTTGAGCACAGTCTTAAAGCAACACTATGAACAACAGATTGGGACTTTGCCCTACACCATACCATATTCATAATCTCTATGTTTACACCCACTGTTGTTTTGTTGTGTTGTTAACTGTCAATCTATCTCATTGAGGTGCTTCCTCTTCCTCTGAACCCTCTACCTTTCCAAGTATGATGCTCCCAAGGACAGACTCCTCCTGACAGCGTGTCCCAAGTATGTGAGACAAATCAAGTCTCATTATTTTGCTTTGACGGAATACTCTGGCTGCACTTCCTACAAATGGATTTGTTATTTTGGCAGTCCATGGTGTGTGATGTACTCTGCCAAGATCATAATTCCAAGCCATCACTTCTTCTTTGGTCTTTCTAATTCATTATCTAACGTTCACATATATGCTTGGGCCAGGCACATCTTAGTCTTTGAACTGACATCCTTTATTTGTAGCACTTTAAAGAGGTCCTTGACAGCAGGTTTGTCTGATGCTCTACATTTTTTATTTCTTCAATGCTGCTTTTGTGAGTGTTGATTATTCACCCACGTAAAACTCTTTCATAACTTCAATCTTCTCTCCATCTGTCATGATGTTGCCTATTGATCGGTTTGTGACTTTTTTTTCCTTGATGTTGGGGTCTAATTCAAACTGAGGGCTGTAATCTTCTTCAGTAAGTGTTTCAAGTCCTCTTAACTTTCTACAAGCAAGGTTATGTTATCTGGATGCTGCAGGATGCTGAATTGTCTTCTACTTCTGAAGTCACAATTGTCTTCATATTGCCTAACCTCTCCAATTATTTGCTCTGCACACAGACTGGATAAGGACGATGAAAGGATTCAATCCTGAAATACACTTTGTCTGATCCGGAGCCTACAGGAGCCCCTTCTTTTGTTTGAGCAACTGCTTCTTGGTTCATATATGGGCTCTGCATGAATTCAGTGTTCTGGCATTTCCACTGCCCTCAATGCTATTCATAATTTACTATGATCCACACAGCCAAATGCCTTTGCATGGTCAGTAAAATGAAGATAAACATCTTTCTGGTATTCTCTTCTTTCAGCCAAGATCCATCTGACATCAACAATGGCTTCCTTAGTTCTTCTGAAGCCAGCTTAAAGTTCTAGTAGTTCTCTATTGATATACTGCCCAACCATTTAAAAAATAATCATTAGCAAGATGTTACTTGCATGTATATTATCCAGTATGTTGTACAATCTATTTGATCACATTTGTTTCGAAGCGGTGAAAATATGAAACTCTTCCAGTTGATTGCCCAGGTAGATTCTTCCAAATTTCTTGGCACCAAGGAGCGAGCACATTCAGTGCTATATCTGTTTGCTGAAACACCTCAACTGATATTTCATCAATTCCTAGAGCCTTATATTTATGAATGTCTTCACTGTGAACAAATCTTGTATTTACTGGGGCAAGATTAATCAACTCTTGGTAATTTCTGATATTTAAGACCTGGTCAATTATGATGTATATTTTCTCATAATCAGTAAGAAATACATTTTAAAAATATAGAAACATACTCTAATAACCACTCAACAATTAAAGGCATTCTCAAATGTTCATAAAGGGAACCTCATTGTGTACATGGATTTAAAACACTTATGCAGAATTTACTACTTACTAGGAAGCTCTGGTGGCCTGGCGGTAAGGAGCTGCACTGCAACTACAAAGGTATGTGGTTTGAATCCACCAGCTGCTCATGGGAGAAACATGGAAAATCTCATACCTTATGATTTATGCCTCTGAAAATCCCTTGGAGGGTCAGATATTGGTTGATTCCAACTTGATGGTACATAACAACAACAACAACAGATACAAACTAAACCTATTATTGTTGTTATTGTTGTATACTGTAGAATGGGAACCACCAGAGTTCCCTAAACAAATCTATTATACATATGTTACTTTCATTATTCTTTAACAACATCTAGTGAAAGAACAGTTATTATTATCATTTTATAGAGGAAGAAATCTAAATTCAGAAAGGTTGAATGTTTTCCCCAAGACTACACATACAGTTCTTAAGGAAACCAGATCATAAGCTCAGTGCCTGTAACCACCTTATTACCGGACATCCTTGCCTTCATTCCCGTTCATGCTGTTTGCCCCTGGGCTGACTGAAAAGGAAGCCCCATTAAGTTCATTGCTGATAAGATTTGGATTTCTGTTCTACTTATGATCTATAAATAACAGAAGAACAAGCATTCCTTCTAACATCTGTTTCAAAACTACCTTCCTACTCAATAAATATATTATACTTGCAAGAAACACATTTAAGAGTTGACTACCAAACCAATATGGAGACTTGGTAATGCAATGGCTAAAGTCCTGGGTGCTAACTGAAAGCTTTGCTGCTTTAAAATATAAGGCACTGTGTGGAAGGAAGACATGGTAAGCTTTGGTAAGGATTCACAACCTCGGAAACTCTAAGGGAAAACTCTACTGTTCTTACAAGGTTGTTATGAGTAATAATCAACTCAGTGGCAAAGGCTCTGGGTTCTGGCAAAGGCCTGGTTTACGCTTTTCTAACCCACAGTATTATCAGAACATCCTGGGTGTTCATTATGACTTTCTCTGATGCCCTCTTCATTATCATGGATGAGAATTCATGCTTCCTGGGACCATTCTGATTATGAGACTGACGCGCTGCCTACTGCTCTAAGAAGGCAAGTTATCCTGGGACCATTCTGAAGCAGCGACGGAGAATGAGTAACCATAGTGGGAAAGAGAAACCCATAGGTCAGAAAAGGAAAACGAATTGATTCATGTAATGAATGGCTTGCTGGTTCTGAAAACAGCATTGACTGAAAATTTATTTTCTTAAATAGTTGTACAGCCTGAGAAAGTAAGCTTGGTCACTGAACTCTGCATGGAAGAACTGTTGAGCTGATGTATGCTTTATTATATATATAGTCTACATGATTAAAACGCCTTAAAAATAAAAGTAAATTCCTTTTTTTTACATTCATCAATTCTTGATAATTTAGGACAGGAGTTGATGATAAGTATAAAACAGTCCTTCCCCCCCCACCCCCTTTTTTTTTGTTTGCAGAGCAGAAGACATTATTACGTATTTTCTGAGGAAAATCCATGTATATTAAAATATCTGATGCAGAAACCAAGAGATGATTTCAAGTACATGTTACAACATTCATCTTCCAAAGGCATCTGTTTGATAGTTTAATAACTGTAACGGAATCCATTTGCTGTAGAAAATAAAGCAGTTTTTGAGTAAAGGTCAGCTCATTCATACAGGCAAGGCAGCTCAAGAGACCACACCAGACCCTGTGGTTTGACCTTCTCTCTCCTACGAGAATATAAAACAAAGAGGGGGAAAAACCACAAACCCACTGCCAGCAGGTCCAGTCTGACTCACAGTCACCCTCCTTTGGGCTCCTGAGGCTGTAAATCTTTTGGAAGGAGCCTGTCCATATTTCTCCCAAGGAGTGGCTGGTGGACTCCAACCATCAACCTTCAAGCTAGCGACACTAAGCCATCATGACGCTCTCCCCCACCGGACGTACCCAGGAAAGCAGAACACACTAGGAATCCAGGCACTTTGGAACAGGATGAGATACAAGCATGCTTTGATTTACTGTATCACTTTCTTGTGCCTCACAGAGTTGAGATTTCAATCAAGGCAGGTTTGTAACAGCCCTGTACTGAGCAAATCTAATGGGAACGTCTTTCCAATAGGCTGTGTTCACTTCTTGTCTCTAAATTACATTTTGGTCAATCTCACAGTATTTCAAACTTTGTATAGATTATTTAACACTTAAGAGATTATAATTAACTGTTGTTGAGTCAACTCTGACTCACACTATCCCTCCATGAGCTTTCTGAAGCAGTAAATCTGTATGGGAAGAGATGACTCTTCTTTCTTCCAATAAGCAATTGGTAGATTCGAACTGATGAGCTTTCAGTTAGAAGCACAAGTCATACATTATATAATACACTGTAACTATAACTTTTCTATGTATTAGGGAACAACAACAACAAACACCCGTAAGCTTTGTTTCACTCTATTACACTGGTCTGGAACTGATCGCAGAGTATCTCTGAGATATTAGTCTTTCTTAGACTCCCACATTCTTCTGAAGCAGACTGGGAATTCACTCACCAGGAAGTTCCAATTGGCATCAATCTGAGTCACCATGCCAGTCAGGAACAGGCCCAGGAAGAGGAGGGAAAAGAAAAACGCTGTCACGGATACAAACATGACCCATCCTTGTAGCAGTGGTAGAGGAACACTGGACGAGGCGACCAGAATCCAGACAAGTCCCCCAAACACCTGAGAGAAAGAAAAGTGTGATAAGTTTCCTTAAAAGACAACTTTCTTTAACTCTTTTTAATTACATTTTACTATTTGTGTGTGTGTACCTTAAAAAAAAAAGACAACTTTCATGTCACAGAATCAAACCAGCTTGCATCATCTGCACTTCCCCTCCTTTTGTCTTCCCACACCTCCATACACCGCCCTGTACCCCCCACCCATCTTTCATCATGGGAGTTTGGCCTCCTCCCTCATTTGCAAGAGTGCTCCTTCACTGAGAGCCTGGATCCTACCCACAGGGGCTTGGCTCTCTATGGCGGCCTCCACAGCGCTTCCCTTCCTCCGCCCATGAATACAAAGAGTGTTCTTCCAGATTCCAAAGCAGCTCCCCTTGACCCTACAGCCACTCTAAGTCCTGCCTTGTCTATGTGTCTTCCTTTCATTTATTTTCACACACTCATCTATTCTTGGTCACTACTCTCTGTTTCTGAAGTTATTCTTCAAACCATTGTGAACTGGCTTCTGTTCTCTTCCCTTCTCAGAGTCTGTCACAGACCAGCCACCACCTTTGAATTGGTCATATTCCAGAGTCGTGTTGCATTTCTTCTCATTGACTTATTTGTCAAATTGTGTAGAATGGTCTCTGATTATCCTAGCTGTCAGGGGAACTCTGGTGGGGTGCGTAGGGCATGGTGCTGCTAACCCAAAGGTGGTACATCTCAAGTGGTGCGAATGCACCTGCTGCTCTGCGGGAGAGAGACGGGCAATCTCTGACAATGTGATTTATGCTCTTGTTAGGTGCCATTGAGTGGCAGGCAACTCATAGCAACCCTGTGAACGAAAGACCTGGATACTTGTATAGCTTTTGTCCTTTCTCCAGATTCATAGGGTTTCCGGAGGCAAGCTATTTCAGAAGTAGATGCCACTCCTGCTTCCAAGTGTGTTTTAATCGGGGAGCTCCACCAAACACTGTCCACCAAGGGTGACCAGTCTCGTATTTGACACATCAGTGTCATAGTGTTCAGCTTCACAGCAACCACGAGTTACCTCTGTACGGCAAGTGGACAGACCAGGGCTATAAAACCTAGAGGAATGTTTCACCAAAAACAATTAAAGACAGGTCTGCGGGTCATGGATTAGAGTCACCCACCTTTGGCTTAGCAATATAATTTACTGTCCACTAGGTCAACTGATCTCTCTATGCTTTTGCTGTTGGTAAGTGCTGTCGAATCGTAGGTGACTCATAGTGACCCTGTGAATGAAAGACCTGGACACTTGTATAGCTTTTGTCTGTTATTTTTTAGCCTCCCCCAAACTCACTATGAGTCAGCTATGAAACAGTTCCAACTCTTCATCAATGAGGAAAGTAAGCTGCTACTACTATAAGTAACTGTGCACAACATCCCACGTCCTTTATGGTACGACACCAGTCTTTTTCATCTTCTTCTGGGACCACTAAGTCCCTACAAGTTTACATTCAAGAGGAAGAACCATCTTCAGTACAATTACAAAAATACAAATACTGGATCCACAATATGTCCTCCTCTATTTGAGAATCCTTTACATAAATTAAGATATAGCTTGTCTTTGTTAACTAGTCCTTTAACAGAAGTACCCTAAATAGATGGCTTCACCAAACAGTTTTATTTTCTCACCCTCTAAAAGGCTAGAAGTCTAAAGTGAAGGTGTTCACTGTAACGAAGGCTCACCCTCTGTGTAAACTCTGGAAGACTGTCCTTGAGTCTTCTGAGCTTCTGTTCCTGAGTGATTTTACTCAGCTTGACATGAAACTTTCCCCACTTTTGTTTCTCTTACTTGCTTCTTTAATCTGTTTTTTCAGTTCACAGACAATGTCTTAATGCACAATTTACACTAAACTCACATAACAAAGAGTAGACCTGCCCCTTCTTGTTTTCAATGATAAACATCTTTACAGTAGCGGATCCCTACACCTTTCTCCTGTGGAGTGATTGATGGGTTTGAACTGTCAACCTTTTGGTTAGCAGCTGAGGGTTTTAATCGTTATGCCAATAAGGCTGCTTTTGTGCACCTAAATAAGGCTAAATAAAATCTGTATGTACCTGTTCTGACTACTTACAAATTTTCAGAGACACAGTTAGATAAAATTTGTGGTCATACCATAGTCCACGAAGACAATGTACGTTCCACTTTGGTGAGTAGCAACTGAAGTCTTAAAATCTTGGCAATGGACATTTAAGATGCAGCTATTGTTCACTATCTCCCCATCTGGAATGAAGAATAACTCAACAGCTCAACTCATTGCCAGCAAATCTGAAATGACTCACAGCTGTCCCTCCAGTAGGTTTCAGAGGCTGTAAACCACACTGTAAGAGACTGTCCATTGCTCTCCTAGGAAAAAGCTGGTGGGCTTGAACTGTGTGCCTTTGGGTTGCCAGTGCAGTTCCTTACCACTGGATTCTGGTGGTTTTGTGGTAAGGACTTGCACTGCCAACCCAAAAGTAGAAAGTTTGAATCCACCGGCTGTTCCACATGGACAAGATGGGAACTCTCCTCTCCTGCAATTTACAACTTCAGAAAACCCACTGGAGTGTCAGCTTTGAGTTGCTTCCAACTTGTTGGCATATAACAATAGGCCACTAACACGCCCTCAGATCTGGAGAAAGCTTGCAAATATTTCCTTAATGAACAAATAAACCACAAATGCCTATGCGCATCTCCTTACATGGTTGGTGTTTGAGCACCAAATGTTAAAAAAGAAAAAAAAAATCATTTTATTTTTGAGTAGCATCCAAACTGAACTAGTCACTAAAAGTAAAAATCAAAAGAGTAAACTGAAAAAAAAAATCCATTTATTTTTACTCTGAAGAAACATTCCACTTGAATTTGGCATTAGCCAAATCCAGACGTCACGATGTATAGGTCATGATAAACGTATATAGCAAGCCTCAATTTTAAATGAAAAATGAACAATGCCCCTATAAAGTTCTATGAAATAAATTCAAAGGGTAAATATTAGCACATATTCAATTTCTTAACTACAACCTTTCCTATCAGTTGCTGTGTAAAAAAATCAACTTATTCCTAGTGGAAGGTCCTCTGTTTCCATACTGTTTATATAACAATTAAAGTGATAAGAATGTCTCCAGTAGGTTAATCTTTCCTTCTATCTCAACCTTTTCTTTCTGAGTCTTTATTCTCTCAATAAAAAACAACTTATATTAGTCAAAATGTAGTTTAAGGAACATACCGCGTTGTGTTTTGGTTTTTTTTTATTTTTATATATATATATAGTTCAGAAATCATTTATCCACAGGCTATATACATTGTTGTGGATTGTCACTGAGTGGATCCCAACTCATGGATAATATATAGTCATAAAGGACCATTGGCCACGGTTTAGAAGAGGAAACATAAAAAAAAACAAAACCCTGTGTATCACAAAGGGATATAGGGCTTGTGATACATGTACACCTCTAAAGATGATCCTTTGACATGAAAGCTAACAACAGACATGGACTGGACCAGGGCAAATTCCTCACCTACTGCAGGGTTGGTGGAAATACATGTAAGCAAGAAACGAAAAAGACAAGGCTCCATCTTTAGGAGTATAAATAAAGGGGAAACAGGAACCGTGACATCTGATTCAGGCAGCAGACTGTGGTGAGGGCTATAAAAAGAGCTCAACACAGTGTGCTCGGAGAGCCTGGGAGGGGGAGAAGTGGAATAGGAGGTCCTGGAAAAGTCTGCAGAGGAGGTAGGCTTTGAAGCAGGCTTTCAAGACAGACCAGGGCTTTGACAATGATGCTATATGTGCCACAGTATAGATTAACTGTGCTTGTGGTTCACAAAATTATAGCCCTTCCAAATACCTCCAAGGCTTGGAAAGGAAGCTAAGTGCTCACAGGAAAAAAGCACAGATTTGCTTCCCCATCTGCAGTGTGTGTGCTGCATGGAAAGAAATAGGGTGGAGGAGGGGTACACATGCCCCCTCTCTTCTCACATAAGTATAATGTCTCTCAATCACAGACACTAAGAAATCAAGATCAACGTCTTATTCACTACGGTTGCTTTGGAAAAGAGGGAGGTGGTCAGCCAGGGAACAGCCAGCCAGGGGACATGGCCAGTCAGGGGATACGGCCAGCCCACAGTGGAAATCCAGCTTCCTCTGTACAGCGCCACACTGTTCGATCACCAGCAGGGCCTCATGCAGTTATTTCTTCCTACTTCCTGATTTTCTTTTGTGTAAGCTACTTTCTCTCCCAAGCGCGTCAATCTACAAATTGCAAACACAGTTTTCCATCTAATTTTTAGCTTGTGGGTGCAACTATGTGGAAGCATTCATGTTTTCTGTACAAGAGACGTGGGTTCGAGTCTCAAACAAAGCTACTATTTGTCTGTGGAGGTATGAAGCATGAGACGGAGTAGGCTTCCATGGAGCTTCTAGCATAAGAAAGAAGCCTGGAGATAACTCTCAAATATCAGCCAGTGAAAACTCTAAATTGCTTCCTATGCATCTTAAAATTGAACAATGAATAGAGAAGGCTGAAGAATGGATGTCTTTGAATTGCGGTGTTGATGAGGGGTAATGAATATCCCGTGAACTGCCAAAACCCCCCAAGCAATCCGTTCTAACGGAAGTGCAGTCATAATGCTCCTTAGAAGCAAGGTTGGCGAAACCGCATCTCCCTTACTTTGGGTATATTCTCAGGAGGAACCAGACCTTGGAGAGAGACATCATGTGGGGAAAGGTGGAGGGTCAGAGAGAGAGAGGAAGTTGCTCCGCATGAAGGATGAGACAGTTACCACCACAACGGACTTGAGCATGACAGAGATTGTGAGGACGGTGCAGGCTAGACAGGATCACTATATGATTTGTAGTTGACTAGGCGACACTTAACAACTGCCAGCGCACTGTGACCCTTGAGGACAGAACTGCCCCAGTGGGCTTCCAAGGCTTTAATCTTTACAGAAGTAAGATGCCACACTTTGTTCCTACAGATGGGCTGTGAAATTCAGGCCACTGAGCTTTCAGTTAA